GGGGGGGGGGTAGGTTGGAGAAGAATAAGAAGTGACTGCAAATGAGTATGAAGATTCTTTTTGGGGTAGAGAACATATTCCAAAATTCATCGAGGTGATGATTACACAAATATTCAAATATATGAATATACTTAAAACCACTACACACTGTAAATGGGTTAACTGGTCTACATGAATATGGTATATAAATTGTGTATCTAAGGCAGTTTAAAAAACAACCAAAACCAAAAAACCAAAGAGCACCTTCCCGTTATTAGCAGACATGCACATGACCCAAGGAGGGCCAATGGAATTTGAACTTTTGGTGGAGCAAGCAGACAAAAGGTATGATCTGTGCAAGTTGAAGCTGACTGGATATGTGACGAGCTCAGTGACCAAGGTAACCTCACAGGTGATTGCATCATAAATGCCTAACTGGGCAGGTGGTTGTTTGCCCAGGCCTATGACTTCCTTAGTAAAAGGTTTATCCTTCCCTTACGCAAGCCCTGTCCATTGTTCTGGTGCACCTAAGGCAACACACCTTTGAAATGCCAGAGCAATCTTTTCCAGACCCCGGGGAGGCACAGCCACCCTCAAGGGAGTGTATGATCTTATCTATATACCATACCTATTCACTGTAAATGTTAACAACCTGTACCCAGAAATGTATGTATCTCTCCAATTTACTTTTTATCCAATCAGTGAATCCCCCCCCTTGCTTTCTCCAGCTTCCATAATCTACAGCCAATTAATTTCATGTAATCCTTTTTTCTTTCCTAATTCCAAATGCATAAAAAGAACTGCAAAACTGCCATTCTCCAGCGTATTTTCTCATTCTGTTGAGATCTGTTTCTATATATGTCCTCAGTTAGGCTCAAATAAACTTATAAAATTTTTCTATAGGTTTGGACATTCTTTCATAGACAGATATATACCTAGATACTGGGGCCAACCAAGAAAGGGAGGTGTGCCTCGAATAGTCAATGCTGAAGCAGAGCTCAAAGATAGTGTCTCCCAAGTCTTTAAAAGTTTATTTCCGATTCAGATCCTGGATCAAGCCAAACCTGAAGGCTGAGCTATATAACCTTTAAATTATGTGATATGATAAATGTTCTTTGGGGACTTAAAAAACAGTAATCTGCTTATAACTTCTATTTCTTACAACTTAAGTATACAATATAATTCCTTGTAAGTTTGCAATTTTAACCACAAGTTAAAAATTTTATTTACAAATAGTCTCGCAATTTAATATATCACAAGAGAACCTTAGTGACTGTCATTAAATCTCCGCAATCATTACAACTATTAGCAATGTCTCACGAGACATTCACTTCAACAGGCCAACAACATTGTTCTTCAATTTACAAGCACACTTAGGGTATTAAGAATAAACTACATAGCTGCCTCCCAACAAAGCCCTTAGAATTCTTCAAGGTCCACATGATTACTTCTTTTTCTTTTTTTTAATCCTCACCCAAGAATTTTTCCACTGCTTTTCGACGTGGGAGGGGGAGAAACATCGATGTGGACACGCACTGACTGGGGCCAGGGATGGAGCCTGCAACCAAGGTAGGTGTCCTTGGTTGGAATCGAACTCTGGAAGCTTCAGTCCTTGGGCCGACGCTCTAACCACTGAGCCAAACTGGCCAGGGCTACTTCTTTCTTTACAAGGCTTACTACAAAGTAAATTTTAACTTGCATTTCTATAAACAGGGTTGGTAAACTGTTGTCTCTTTATCTCATATTGAATGCTTGCTATGTCTATTTCACACAGTATGCCTCCAGTGGGAAGAGGTTGAGGGGGGTGGAAAAAACATGGCTAAACAAAAAAATATTCTGAAATTAACCTTTATAAGTGTCTTCTACAACAGTAAGCTAGATCAATTCTCTAAACATTTATGTTCCTTTTGTGTCTAAGACCGAGCTTCCAGCATATCACAGAATATGGGAAAACAAAGCTTTGGGGCAAATTTGCCCCAGGTGAACAATTTAATGAAGGTATTCATGATTTCAAATAAGTCTGCAGGTAAAAACTAGAGTTGTGTCTGGTACTTCCTTATAAAAACAGAACCTACAACAAAATTATAGTGAAAACTTCACACAAAGCTGGTAAGTTCATGCAGAGCTTAAATGAGCAAACTAAATTTTGTATACTACCTAATATTGTCTTGGGCCATAAAATATATTTCCTGTAACATGACAACAGATAAAATTTATTGAGCACTTACCATGTGCCAGGAGCTGTTCAAAACGTGCTATATTATGACAACCATCCTATGAGGTAGGTACTACTGTTATCCCCATTTTACAGATCAGATAATTGAGAGAAATTAAATATTTTCCCAAGGCTGTACAGTAAAAGTGGCCTGGCCCATGTGGTTCAGCAGTTAAGCACAGACCTATGATCCAGGAGATGGCGGTTTGATTCCAGGTGAGGGCACATGCCAGGGATAAGGGCTTGATGCCCAGCAGGGGGCGTGCAGGAGGCAGCCGATCAATGACTCTATTGATGTTTCTCTCTCCCTCTCTTCCTTTCTCTCTGAAACCAACAAAAATTTTAAAAATTAAAAAAGTGGTAAAAATGGTAGAGCCAAGATCTGAAGCTCAGCAGTCTGACCTTAACTGTGGTCTTAACCATTACGCAAGGTTCCCTAACACTTGGTTTTTATAAGATGAAGGCCCTGGAGATAATCACTTTGTTTTTATAGGTTGGTATCTCATGGAATGGCTCTCCCAGAGTTGTGCTCTGTGCTGTCTTCCCCCAACACCATGTGCCAGAAACAATAAATAAAAACAATCAAATAAGAAAAGGGGGGGGGGCGGGAAGAAACAGCATAAAAAGAATAATTTTTAAGTAGCCTTACTAACTTGGACCAGTCACCTCACCATAAAGAATCTCTTCTATTTCTTGCAAAGATGAACAACTGAATACTCCATACTAAGCCAAGCATATTATTTCTAAGTTTTATCATCAAATCCACTGTGTCCTATAGTTTAATTTTTAGCCAATGCAGATTCATTTAATTAATAATTTTGTTCCATAGCAGATATATTAGGCTACTTAGAGGTGACATACTTACCTATAAATAAGATGTTACTCTTTCATTGTTGTACCCGTTCCCATTTCTCTTCAATCATGTCAGTATCTCTCCACAATGTTTACTTCTTTGGTCCTGGAACAGCAAGAAACTACTACATAATTACTAATGACTTAATATAAAATTTATATACTACCTTTATTTATATTAAATTTACAATAAAAGTACGTGCTATTCTGTTTATTTCATATGACACTGCTGCGCAAAGCTCTGTTACTTTGTTACTTAAGGTTGCATGAAAAGTATACTAAGTTTCTTGGATTCTAGAGTGTGCAAAGAAAATAAAAACTAGGTCTGACCTAGACTGCCTTTCACTTTTCAAGTTATAATTCCAATTCGTGTGCCCTTCTCCAGGTCCACTACTATCGTTTCATTCCCAAACAAAAGTACTCTGCCTGGCCCCGTGGCTAGGTTGGTTGGCGCTTCCTCCCTCACACCAAAAAGTTCTGGGCTCCCTCCCGTCAGGGCACACAGCTAGGTCCTGGCTTCCTCCCCGGTTGGGGTATTCCGGGGAGGCAAGCGATGGATGTCTCTCTCACATCGATGTCTCTCTAAAATCAATTGAAATATATCCTCTGCTGAGGATTTTTTTTTAAAAGTACCTTAGCAATTTTCTTTATTAGATTAGTAAAAGAGAATCCAACTGTACAAAAACAAACAAAACAAAACTGAAACCTAAACATTCGTGCGTGTTAATACTGAATAAAATCTAAATGTTTTACAGCTAACATATTAAGCTCTTCGACCCGCCCAATTAAAATGCACCCCAAGCTCCTGCAACATCACCTGCTGTTCTCTTTACCTTGAAGCCTGGCCCTGCCAGTATTACAAATAAATTGTTTTCACTGAAACGATTCCCCGAAAGCCTGCTGCTGAAATTCGGGACCCTAAGGACTTGTGCCGAGGGAGCCCGCGTCCCTCAAGAACACCTCAAACCGGCCTGCGTTCGTGCATTAAGACGCCTCGGGGGACGAACTGCTGCCGAGGAACGAAAACACCCCCGGCACAGGGGCGTCCTCGGGCCCCGCGGACGGCGCGCGGGCCGATCGTTCCGGGAGGAACAGCATAATAATGGGGGTGGGGAGGAAGGGAACGCTCGATACATAGTAAGTGCAAAACAAAGATTTTTTTTTTTTTTTCACGCCAGCGACAGGAAATAATTAGAAACAAAAGCTTCTCTTACACCTCCCCACCTAACCAACCGCCCAGCAGTTTAAGAAAATGCTTACTCGCGGGCGCTACCCGCGAC